TTTTTTTTTTTGCAGATTCTTTGATTGAGAAAGTTCAAATAGCAGCATTTATTTGAAATAGTAAAGATTTTACATTGTTACAAAACATTTCTGTCACTTTTGTTCAATTTAATGCATCCTTGCAGAATAAAATTAATTTCTTTAAAAAAAAAACTTACTGACCTCAAAACTTTGAATGGCAGTGTATGTTTCAGCCAGTTGCTTCCTCATTTCTGAAATACTGATTACAACATTTGCACTAGGGTTTGACTGAAAGTGAGTCATTTCTGTAGCTTTCGTGTGCTATTAAAACAGATCACTGGAGCTCCTGGCCTGTTTGATATGGGCTGACGGTGAGCCAGATTAAATTCTTGGGTCTGCGGGGAAGCCAGCTGACCTCAGATGCCCCGCTGCAGTTGTTTTTCCTGTTTAGAAGGAGCAAATCCCTTTATTTTTGCAGAGATTTGATGGGCTAGAGCTGATATTTTGGAGTCTGAAAGTGTGTCATACTCAAGCATGTTTATTTGTAAACAGAATGATGCCCCGCCCCCCTCTCTTAGACCGCACTGAGGCATTATGGGTGATCTTAGTTTGCACACCCATTAGTTGGCAGAAAGCGTCCCGCTGCTGGGAATGGAGAGCAGCTGTGTGTGGAAATGTCTAGAAATGCACATATTTGAGTACCTATGTGTGTGTTTGTCAGAATTGTTATGAAAAAAAATGGGTTGGTTTGTTTCGGTTGTGAAACGTGACCCGAACAAGTTATTGGCAATTTTTGTGAGGTGTACCTAGGTATCATTGTCTAGATTTCCTTGATGGCATTGGAGAATCCTGTGATTTTTTTTCTCTTGGAACATTCTGGAAAGTTTTCTGCTTTTGAGGAAAAACGTCCAAGAGGTTTTAGGAGGTTTAGGTAAAGACATTCTCTCTGACATCTGCTGTGTGTTAAGAAGGGCTCCAGTGTCTGTAGGCTGGCACAGGTCCTGTGCCCCTGCTTCAGCATCACTGTCTTCACTATCTGGGCTCCAGGCAGTGTGTGTTAAAGAAGTTGTCCCCCTCCCTCCCTCTCTCCCTGCTGCAGGAGAGCACTCAAGGGCAATTCCTATGCAGACTCACTTTGGGCTGGTTTAGGTAGCGTAAGGCCACTGTGCTCATTAATCACCCTGGAAATGGGCCTGTCAGGGACCTGCAGTACAACCTGCCCTGGACCTTTAACACACACAGATAGGGATGGGTATCGTTAAGGTTTTAACGGTATTGCTACTCTTACCGATACTGCTTATCGATTCGGTACTTTAACGGTATTCTTATCGGTACTTTTTGTTACATATATACAGTAAGAACATGAACAAAGAAACAAAGTAAAACAACCTGGCAAATACAATAAAACAAATTAAATGAAATAAACAGTGCTTTCATTTTTCCATGAGGGTCTACTAACATTACTGTTCAGGTAAGTAATAGCCTATGAAAGAAATCTAATAGTAATCAAATGTAAATGAACACTGCATAGTTTTCACTGTATGTATTGATAGATTAATGCTTATTAAAGCTATAACGTTATTCAGATTAAGAGCTGTGAGTGATTTTCTCTTTGCATTTTCTTGTTTGATTAACATTGATGGCCCAAGCGCCAGTCTGTCAGTTTAAGACAATATATTGACACACATCGGATTTTCCTCCAACTGTTCTCCCCGGCCAGTTTGACATATTTTGTGTGTATTTGATCGTTTGGACACGCACCCGAAGCTCAAAGTGTCATTTGTTTGTCCGTTTTGGAGTGCGCTGCGCACACACATTTCAGCCTGGGGAACAGCGTCTCTTGTGCGGATTGTGCTTTCAATGTTTTATCATCAAACATGTCCCGCAATTTAGCAACAGTAAAGACGGCATCTTACAACAATCACCGATTG